CTGGTCCTCGAGAATAAACACACACACACACACACACACCCGGCGACCTGTTATGGCAGGTGCGCTCGAGGACCCACAAGGGGACAGTTCGGCAATGTGGGTCCCTCCCTTCTCTACAAAGGCCCAGCTGTAGGCCACGAGCCGCTTTCCTGAAAGCATAGAGTTCTCTGCTGGAATAGGCAGCGGCCCCAAAGACCCTGTGACTGAAACACCCACTGCAGAGGAAATAACATTGTCAAGAACCAATAGCGGGAGCCCCACAGGCACGTCCCGCATCCTAGCACAGGGAAGGCCATGGGCGGGCGGGCGAGAGGACCGCTGGGGCTTGGAGGCCTGCTTCGGCTAATAGTGAGTGTGAGTCCCCGTCAGGAGGAGGAGGAGGAGGAGGAGGAGGAGGAGGAGGAGGAGGAGGAGGAGGAGGAGGAGGAGGAGGAAGAGGAGGAGGAGGAGGAGGAGGACGACGACGACGACGACGACGACGACGACGACGACGACGACGACGATGGCGGCGACGCCAGGAAGGAACAAGAAACATCAACAGACGGGGTCACAGCATGTGGAAGAGCTTCTGCACAGTAGAAGAGGCGACCAACCGTGAAGAAACTGTCCACGCCATGGGAACACGTTTCCTCCCAATATCCTTCAGGCAGATATCCAGAACAGCGCAGGGGTTCCTTTTAGAGTTCCAGGGCCCAAACTGCAACCTCAAGCCCACTCGTTTCGTTTATCGCCAAGTGGTAACCCTGCCACGTGACTCGAGTGCGGAGGATTCAGTTGAGGAAAACCAACTCAGACGCGAGTGAACATCTTTGGTCTTCAAAGGAAGCCACCACCATATCTCCCTCATACACACACGCACAGGCACACTCGCACGCGCGTGCACGCACACACACACTCACACACACACACACACACACACACACACACACACGATCGGTCTGGCCACCAGCGTGGAAGTATGCATATATCAAGAACTCAAAACATGAGGACTCCCCGCAACAGTAGAAAAGACCCGATCGAAACATGGGGATCCTGAAAATAGTAAGATAGGCACGTGAAGGAGGAGGACAAATGCTGGATCCCTGAAAACGTGTTCAGCAGCTCTGGCCGGCAGAGCAAGAGCAATGAAAAGAGTACCGAGTCCACCTCCCTCCAGAAGGGAGGGCTCCCATCCGGCAATCAAAGCACAGCCAGCCAAGGGCGGAGGGTGAGTCTGCAGGGAGAAGTCTGCGGTTCTTCGTGGGTGGGCGGGAAGAAGCTCGAGTGGTAGGGGCACTACGTAGGGAAATCAGTGTGGGGAGGCCTGGAAAGACCAGGGGCAGAAATTCCGCTCCACCCCAGCTATCTGCTTTCTAGGCTCCTTGCCGAAGGAGCCAAGGACATCTCACGTCACAGGGCCTCCTTTCTCGGGAGGAGCACCTGCCCTTGGCGCTCGGGCGCGCCCCGGGTCTCTCCCTCTGATACAACCTGTCTGTCCCCTCTCTTTCCCCCAAAGAGACAGCACCAGCACGGTACAGTGATACACGTGTACCCGTGTTCACGGCAGCACGATTGGCAAGAGCCGAGTCACGGAAAGAGGCCGCGTGTGCACTGGCCGACGACTGACTGGGTGAGGCAAACGTGGTATGTGTGTGTGCACGATGGCGCCACTACGTTGCCACGCAGGATCAACTCGAGGAGCCATCAGCAGGGGAAACCCGGGGGTGCACGCTGCACCATAACAGCGGCAAGTGCGATCCATCCATCCATCCGACACGCAAGCCCAAAGAGCGCGTGGTTCGTCCGATAGTTGAAATGGAAAACTACAAACCAAAAGAGTTTTTGGAAAGACAGGGCATGCAAAACAGGGCAGGGAGCGAGGTCTTGTGCAAAAGTCAAGGAAGGAGACAGGAGACTGCTAGATTGAGGCAGAGAGGTTCGCGAAGGGCCACGCAGAAAGCGGAAGACGCGTGCTGAGGATGGCTTTGGCTTTTGGAACCGTGCTGTCTCCCGTGCGGTGATGTGGTTTTCCACAGAGACACGCAGCCCCGCACGTCCCGGAGAGGAGAGAAGCAGGCGTGAAAGCAGCAAAAGCACAGGCTAGAAAGCATGGCGAGCGTGCAAGGCGCCGCCCCTGCCCGTGAGGATAAGCGTGCAAGGAGAAAGCAGAGCAAGAGAGAAGCAGAGAAACAGAATAGGCCAAGGCAGACCAGGCACCAGGCGGGCGTGAAGCAGGGCCAAAGAGACAGCCAGCGCGCGACTCAACAGCAACGAGCCAGCTACCAGGCAAGGGCTGGTGAAGCAATGCTGCGCTGATGGCTGCTGATGGCGGTGACAGCAGAGCCGACCCTCGCATACAAAGGCGAGCGGACACAAGGGCTTCCTTTTGCACAGGCGGTCGTTTCCCCGGGGAGGGGTGCACCGTTCCTGGAGGTACTGCAATACCAGGTCGATGCGTGGAGTGGACGAAGCAAGCTCCTATTCCATCTCCCAGCTCCAAAAATCCATTTAATATATTGTCCTCGGATAGAGGACGTATCAGATATTAAACTGATAAGAACAGATACTACACTTGATCTTAGCCAAAAGGCCGAGAAGCGATGCCGCCCGGCTCCCCCGCACTTCTTGCCGTCCTCCCGCGCTCCACATTTCACGCCCGGTGACAAAAACAACCCTCACTCCGCCTCTCTCGGCCTCTTGCTCCTGCACACCCATGCGCACACCGTCCTACTCGTCCTACTCGGGTGCACGCTTCTCATTTCACGCAGTTTTCCGGGCCAGCTTCTCGCCCCTCTTACGCCCTCCCGGCGTCGCCGGCACTCGGTCCCGCCGCTCATCTGCATGACCCGCCCTTCCTTCCCCGAGGAGGCGTCGCTGCGCCCGCCGACCCCGCCCTCCCGACCGGCTCTGCGCCTGACCGGCGGGGGGCGGGGCGCTGGGAGCCGCTTCCTGCTTGCTGTCCCCGCCCAGTCAGGACAGCCGACCAGACGCCGCGAGACGGGAGGAGGCGGGACGTGGCGGGGGGCGGGGGCGGGCAGGGGGGCCCCCGGAGGCGTGCAGAGGGCTCGCCGCGGGAGGGGACGACGTGGGGGGGAGGCTGCGGGGGGGGGGGGGGCGTGGCCAGGCGGCGCCAGCGTGCGGGCCTTCCCGCAGAGAAAGCGGGTGGCGAGACACGTGGCGCCACTAGCGCCGCCAACTGTGTGCTCATCCCGGGCCTCCTTCGTTCCTGGGCCCGGCTGGGGAGCGGGTGAACCGAGCGAGGACGGTCCTCCCCTCCCCGCTCGCGGTGCGCTGACTGACTCAGAGGAGAGAGCCCCTGGGGGTGGGGGTGGGGGTGGGGGTGGGGGTGGGGGGGGCACCGTCTCGACTGCGGGCGTGGAGGCAGAAGATCTGGCTGGATAGAGGCGGCAGGACACCCGGTGGCTGCGGGCGCACGCCCTGGGAAGAAGCCCGAGGTCAAGGCCCCGGGGAAGGGGAAGGCGGGGATGGAGTGTCCCTTGGAGAGGGACACCCTCCGGAGTAGCCCTCCTGCCATCCCTCGGCACTCGGGGGTGGGGGCGGGGGTTCAAGCGGCGGGAGGGTCGGCTCCCAAGTTGGACCCCACTCGGGAAATGGAACGCAAGTTAGGAGACCTTGTCCCACACGAGGATGTTTTTTTTCAGTGTGGCTAACTCAAAAGTGTAAACGTGCCCTTATTGTCCACCCCCCGCTGTGGACCGAAACGCAGAGAGACCAGTCAGTTTTCCAGGGTGACACAGCTAAACTGCATCACGGTCCAGGCCCAGACTTCCACCCAAGCAATCCCTCGAAACCCCCTGGCGTCTCGTGGCTTCAGAGCAGACTGGGGAGCACGGGTCGAGTCGAGTACCAGGAATAAGCGAGAGAGGAGTTAGCATTTTCTTAGGCTTGGAGCACAGTGGCCCTCAGATGGAGTCGGGAAGGCCCCCGACAGCCTGCCCAGTCAAGACCCTCCAGGGACCCCAGGGGGAAACCAAAAATGCGGCAGGTGTCTTTGGGCTGTCTGGGACACACACCGGAGCACTATCCAGACAGGATAGTCGAGGGCGGGCACACGGGCCCTGCAGGGGACACTGCGTGAGCACTGGATAGACCAGATCCTGACAGAAAAGAAAAAGAACCAACACATGGATACATATCCATATCCATCCAGCCAGCCAGCCAGCCAGGCATCCATCCATCCATCCAAATATACATACACTCAGATACACACACACACACACACACACACACACACACACACACACAGCGCTCAGTTCAGCAGCACATATACTAAAATTGGCATGATACAGACATCAGCCAGGCCCCTGCGCAAGTGAAGCGTCCCATAGTTTTAAAAACCAAACCAAAGAACCAACTGAACTATATACAGTCTCCATGTAAGGCGGGGATCGTGTTCTTCTGTGTCTTCCACAAGGGCCCGGGCCCTTCCACAAGCTCCCTCGTGAGTCCCTTCAGAACCCCTAGGCCAAGAGCTCTGGTTAGGTATCCTACTCAGAACACCCTCCCGGCTAGGCTAGTGGAGGCTCCCTTCCCTTTACTGCGTGCACTTTCTTGCCTTTCTCACTGTGGAAGAAACAGGCTCATACCCTGCCTCCTCCTGCGTTGTCCAGTTTCATTCTTTGTCAGCATGGGACAGGGCTCCAGCGCTCCTCTCACTGCAACACCTCTGGAGGGAAAGAGGTCACTTAGGAAGAAGCTACATGGGGAAACGTCAAGCACTCAGGAATGCCTTCAGTGTGCGCCAGAGAGAGCCAGCTCTCATCTGTCACGTCACGTGTACAGTGTTGTGAAGGGCTCCCCTCACCGCAGCCCACCCCCCCTCCCCTCCGCCCACCCTGGGCCTTCCTAATTTCATGGCCGCTTCGCCCCGCTGGCTTTCCCTGCCTACCGGGGAGCGTCTGGCATGGGGATATAGATACGTGGCCACCTCTTCGCACAGGTTCCGGGGTTTGTTTTCCACCTGTTTGGGGTGGGGGTGGGGGTGGGGGTGGGGGTGGGGTGGGGGTGGGGCGAGGGGTTACCAGAAATGGAACTCGGGACCTCACGCTTCTCGGGGAAGGCGCCCCACCACTGAGTTAAATCCCCGGGCCCTGTTTTCCATCGTGATGAGGTTGTTGGATGCTCTCTCCTCAGCGCCAGTGACATACACACTCTGGCACGTACTTTGTGGCGAGTGTGTATGTGCAGAAGAGCTGAGGGGTCAGATGGGACCACGCGTACTGGGTGCTGAGTCCCCTGAGTCCGCGTGCCCTGACCTCCACCTCCACTCCCCCCACCCCCAGCTCTTGATCTCTGCACTGTGTTTACTGGTCCGCCTCCTGCCCATCTGGTTTCCCTGAGCAGGGGCTGTTCTGCAGCGCAGGGCCGAGGGCACCGGTTAGTGGAAAGCAATCTTTGTCCCCCTCTCCCAGGGAACACACATCTTTTCAGGCCGAACTCATCTTTGATCCTCTCTCTGCCTGTGTCTTCTGTCTGTCTGTCCGTCCGTCTGTCTGTATCTGTGTCTGTGTGTCTGTGTGTCTGTGTGTCTCTCTGCCCTTTCCATCCGTCTTGCAGGTGAGCCACACCAAGAGCTGACCTGCTTTCCCTTGTTTTCAAACGCGGTGAAATCACTTCCTGTTTTTCCCTTTTCGGGCTTCTAAGCTTGGCCACAGAAGCCCAACAAATGTGTCCACGTGAGCCCAGAGCAGGGTAATCTGCAGCCGCTCTGGCCCTCATCTGGCATCCAGTCCACCACCTCTGTGTCAGGATCCCTGGAGGGCCACAGGCACCTCTCGTGGCCGAAGGCACAGGCCTCCCAGACCCTCGTTCCCTGACCTCCTGGGCTGTCTCGGACCTCGGGGTGGGCCCCCCTGGGATTGCAGGAGGGATGGAAGGGCCGGAGAGTCACCAGGAGGTGCTGTGCCCGGTTGCTAGTCCTCAGTGGTGGTATGTCTGGCAAAGGCGCAGTTGGGGGCAAGCAGCGGGGTGTGGTTGCCCTCACGGTGCCCTAGGGCAGGGGCCGTGAGGGCCCAAGTGGGGGCCCAGTGTCTTTCGGGTCCCGAGACCCGTCAGCCCGAAGAAACCTCATGCCGCAACGCAAGGCCCGGCCCTGCTCCGCTCCGCTCCGCTCCGCTCTGCGGCAGGCTGCTGGACCCTAGGCCTCGGAGCTGCTCCGTGGCCTCCATACCCTTCTCAGAGCAGGGTGCCATGCCTTCTCCCGTCCCCCCACCCCCGGAGGCCGGAGGCCGGAGGCTTCCCCTGGTGCTCTGCATGGGCTTTGGCCGGGAGAGCTGCTTTGCCAGGTCTCAGGAGGACGGCCTCTTCGTCCTCCCCCGAGGGCTGCCTGGGCTCCAGCGAGTCCTCCCGTGCCTCTCAGTCCTCAGCGTCCCCTCTGTTGAGGTGACCGTGTTCCTGGTCTCCGGCCAGTCCGGACGTTGCTGGGGCCCACCTGGACGCAGCCCCAGCCCCAGCCCCAGCCTATCTACCCTAATCCCCGCCGGCCTCTGGGCCTTTGGCCACTGAGGGCCACTCGCTTTGCCTTGCTGGAGGACCCACTTTCCCTGGCTTCAGCCACTTGTGGTTTTGTGGTCTTTCGGGTGCAGGCGTGTTGGTCGCCCCCTACCTCTGCTGCCTGCTTCTCGCCGCCCCTCTGTTGGGAGCCGCGTCTGTGATAGCTCGCCTTGCGCGGCGGACGTGCGGCCTGTGGTAAAGAGCGGAGCCTGGGGTAGATTACCCCTCCCATCAAATATGTTAGTTTCCTGCTTACCGCGTAAACAACCCGCTCAACAATATAGTCTGCCTGGCAACTGATGATGTTAGCCAATCAGCTTGCCTTGCTTACTTTAACATGATTGGACACTGTACCCGTATATATACCGGTGCCACCCCTGGGCGGAAGAAGAAGCCAGATAGAAGCCCGGAAGTAGAAGCCCAAAAGGAGCCGCGGAGAGCGGACCGGTAGAGGCTTTGGGGCAGACTGAAGCACAAAAGGAGCCGCGGGGAGCGGACCAGAGGAGGCTTCAGCTGGGAGAACCCAGGGCAGGCTGTACGGAGAAGGAAAATAAAAAGAAAAGGTTGTCCACTACCAGACTTTGTCGTGTGTCCTTCCTGCCGGCCGGGAGCGGACATCGACATTTGGAGGCCCGCCCGGGGACTGATCACCCCCGAGACGTGGAAGTGGACAACGCTCCAGTACAGAGCTGCGAGACAGGTGAGTTGGGGATAAGCCTGGGCTCTGGGTGGCGCGCACCTACAGGGCTTTTAGACTCCCCTCAGGCTCACGCGTAAGTGGCGGATTCCTTGGGCCTCACGCGGTGAGTAACATATTAAAAAATGGGAAACATGCTAGGTAGCGGCACTAAGAGCGAGGGTGGTTGTGGAGAAAGCTCTCAAGAGCTTACAAAAGTACGCAGGGTATCTGAGCAGGCCCAGTCAGGGAGCTCCCGAGAGGTGTCTGTCAAGGGGAACAAGGATGCTAAGGAGGAGGACGGGGCTCTAGCCTCGGAGTCGTCTGACTCCGAGGACGAGGGAAAGTTGAATGGCAAGGAGGCCAAAGAGACCAGCTGTCAGGAGCCTAAATCGCTCAATAAGGAGTCGCAGGGTTCTTTTCCAGCGTTGCCCCGCGAATTGCGCTCTGCTCAACCTGGTCTGCGGAGGAGTAGAGAGCTCCTGAGTGCGCCCCGGCGCGAGAGGGAGGCGGTCCCTCGCCACGAGGCGGCCGCCTGGGAGCTCCCTCCCCTTTCGCCAGAACAGGAAGTGATGCACGGGCCCCCATTTTCCGCCCAATCACGGCCGCCGTCTTATGCTCCGCCACCGGCGGGTCGGTATTTTTACAGGCGGCTTTGGCAGGGGGGACGCTTGTCTCATGAGGTACATCCACCTGGGATAGATAGTGGCCCCTACGGGATATTTCCTGTACAAGTAGCTATGGGCCAGGGACGCAATGTATGGGAGCCTTTTGAGATAAAGCAGATTAGAGAACTTAAAAATGCAGTTACAACCTTTGGGCCGACTGCGCCTTACACCATTGCCATGCTGGAGAACCTGTCTTCTGGGCCCCTCACCCCCGCGGACTGGATTCAGCTGGCAAAGGCGTGTCTGCCCTCGGGTAGTTACCTGGATTGGCGAGCCTGGTACACAGAGTTCTCTGCCGAGCAGGCTGAGAAAAACGCTGGTCGAGGAAATGGGGGCTAGGGATTTAGCTCAGTGGCATAAGCGCCTGCCTTGGAAGCAGGCAATCGCCAGTTCGATCCCTGGTACCAATAAAAAAAAAAAAAAAAAAAAAAAAAGATAAAAATAAAAAATAAAAAACAAAAAGGGGGAGTAAGCCAAGGCCTGCCTCCAAAGGCACGATTATCCATGGCACTATTCACACACAATTTTTTAAATTTAAATAATGATAATCGCTCCCCAGCTGTGGAGCACTGCAACCCTTCCCCCAACCATAAAGGGTGGGTGAAGTGGAAAGATGTCCTGACAGGACAATGGATGGGCCCGGATCCAGTGGTCAGCTGGAACCGAGGCGCGGTTTGTGTTTTCCCACAGGAACCGGGACGAGAACCACTGTGGATACCGGAGAGACTGACACGGGCAACAAAGCCCTCGACTGAAGATCAGACCTGCCCTACTGGAGATCCATCACAGACCAACCAATAAGATGAATAGAAATAGCGGTAGCCCGAAATGGACAAGAAGATCCTCAGGCATATGCATGGCTTGCTCAATTGGCCCACGACCGAGTCTAGATATGGCGGGCATCCCTCATTCTCCTCCATAAGGTGACAATACACAGCAGGGTAGGTGAGTCAATGACGGGTAAGAGCGTGCCTCCCCAGCACGACTCGACCTAAGCCAGGCCCTACCCCATCCTGCACGTAAGCCGCTGGACTGTTAGATGCTGCCCAGGTCTAAATTTCTCTCCGAGGGGATTTCTTTACGGAGAGGAAATGAGTGCAAGCTTGTGTGCATCCAGGTTCCGTCCAGTTTGTGCCTGGCCCTAGAAAAAGGACGAGGGCCTCAGGGTCTTGGCAGACCATGGCATGGCCAACCAGGGTCTAAGCCAAGGACCTACGGTGGGCCTACACATAGGGCATAAGCCTCTGCACCCAGTCCAGGAAGGGCTACGATGCGCACATTCATAAAAAATAAAATAGGGGGAGATGTTGGGAGCCGCGTCTGTGATAGCTCGCCTTGCGCGGCGGACGTGCGGCCTGTGGTAAAGAGCGGAGCCTGGGGTAGATTACCCCTCCCATCAAATATGTTAGTTTCCTGCTTACCGCGTAAACAACCCGCTCAACAATATAGTCTGCCTGGCAACTGATGATGTTAGCCAATCAGCTTGCCTTGCTTACTTTAACATGATTGGACACTGTACCCGTATATATACCGGTGCCACCCCTGGGCGGAAGAAGAAGCCAGATAGAAGCCCGGAAGTAGAAGCCCAAAAGGAGCCGCGGAGAGCGGACCGGTAGAGGCTTTGGGGCAGACTGAAGCACAAAAGGAGCCGCGGGGAGCGGACCAGAGGAGGCTTCAGCTGGGAGAACCCAGGGCAGGCTGTACGGAGAAGGAAAATAAAAAGAAAAGGTTGTCCACTACCAGACTTTGTCGTGTGTCCTTCCTGCCGGCCGGGAGCGGACATCGACACCCCTCCACCCAACCCCGTTTCCCACTTGGCCACCGTGGTGCTCCTGCCCGTCTCACACAGAGCCCTTGCCTCCTCCCTCCACGGGGCTCCCCATGCACCCTCAGCCTCCGGAACCTGCTGCCTCCTCCGCTTCTGCTTTCTTCTTGCTCACCCCCAAATGCAGGCCTCCCCAAGCACCAGGCTCCCGTGCCAAGGCACTTGGCACTGGACGCTTGTGGCCACGCGGACGTTGCGCAGACACCGCCACGTAGCTGCGGCTGAGCCCTTCATCCACTTTCACCCTGCAGCCTCCTGCCGCCTCAGCATGCCCTGCGCTTTACATTAGAGACCCTCAGTCCACGTGCGGGAAGCCAGACTCAATGTGGATCTTCTGGGGAAATAACGTTTTTTCTAATCTCATCCCCCTCCTCCAACATGGAGGGCATAATTTCTGTCTCCATTGTCAAACCGGAAAAATGGCCATGTCAGAAAGAAATAAGATTGCTAAAAAGGGAGATGGAAATGGAAATGGAAAGAATGGAGAGACACAGTCAAAGAGGAAAAGCAAAAAATTGTTTTCTGTTTAAAGAGGTGTAAACTATTTGGGGGTGTTGGAAGTACATGATTTTTAGTAAATGTAGTGATATGCGGAAAAAAAAGATATGTTTTACAAGTACAAAACACTTATGATGAATTTTGTGATTTTATATATGTACAATGTACTAATAAAAGGAAAATTTTAAACGTCCATTTGTATAGTATATATACATGTATAAAATGAGGTCCTCTGAAAATATCAAAGTAGTGTGAATAACTTGAATCTGCATTTCAGTTTTGTTTAGGTATCTGAGTGACCAAAATATCTTCTGGGGCAGGATGTGTTCCTTACTGATCTTGTCTGTAGGGAGCCATTGAAGCTGGAGATTGATCACATGTGTGAGGCTAAAGCAAGGCTAGTCCAGGAAAATTAGACCAAAACAAGCTATATAAAGAAGTTGTAACCGCACCAAGAAGGCAAGGGGCCCAGGTCTGCCAAGCAATGGGTTGCTAGTCAGAAGGGCTGAAGTTGACATCATCTTTCCCAGTATATCAATAAAGGTGCTTAGTGGTTGAGCAGTTTCTTTCCTCCCATTAGGAGGATTAGGGCTCCAACCGACCCCAGGTTTGTCTTTTATTTTTCTCATCCTCTCGAGGTCCTTAACCCCAAGAACCTCAGGAGCTTCATTGGATTGTGGCACTTGGCTGTGTCCCAGGGACTAAATTTAGGATGTTTTCTGGTACAGGACTTTTATTTGATAAGAAGGATAGGTAGTGTGCCTCAAAGGGTTTTGGTCCAGACAGGACACTGTAGCTGGTAAAGCCAAGGAGCTCCTATCTCCACCTCCCCTAGGAATCTACCTCTGGTGCCAAACAAAGACCAATGGGCTACCTGTGCATTCCTAATGCCCCCTTAGTTTCCACCCCAAACCGAGGCTACTTATGTACCTCACTCCATGTGTTCTATGGAGGGATCGCCGACCCCGGGGTGGAGAAGCCGCAGGGGTGTCTCTCCCCGCATTCTGGAAATAAAGGTCAGCCACTGCTGGTCCCCCACAGTTCTATCATATGGTTCCCTGACCAGGAACGGCAGATGAGAAACTCCTGGGGCTGGTTCCCAGTTTTGAGTCCCCTGCTGTTCAGGACCAGGACCGGACTGCATCCTGCATTGATTCCTCACTTCTACACTCGGGAGCTATAAGCTTGTCACTGCTGGTTCGAAAACAACACCGACCCAATTTACCACAGGTGAGCAACTCCCAGAGACTGCCACTGGGCCAGGCCCCAGGTGGGTTTTCTCCCCGTTGGCTTGGGTTTGTGATGCTCTCACATCCTTAACACAGCCCAGGGCAGGGGTCTTTCTGGGCAACCTGTGTCCACACTCGAAAACCCTCAGTTTTCTGGACCCCCCCACACTGAGAGACTCTCATGTTCTTCAGAGCTTTTTAAGTTCTCACAGCAGAGCTGTTACTCAACCCACGTAAAGTCCACTCATCATATTGGTGACGGCCAATTATTAAGAGTTTTGGAGCCATGTAATAACCGATCAGTCTGCTGTAAAAAAGTGATGACTTTAAGCTTGGCAGACCATGGTCTGTTGCCTCATCTGGTTCTAACCCCGTGGGCTAGACCCCACACCAGATTTCATCTCGGGACCACTTCCTGTCCCCCCCCTCCAAAAACCATACCTATGTATGGCTTATTGTAGGGAGCTGAGTGACAGCCCATTGCTGTCTCCCTGCCTCTCTCTCCTATGGGCACTGCGTCTGCTTACATTAACAATAATCCTCTCCTGCTTACGTCATGTATCCAGATGTGACGGTGACCCTGTTGTATTCACCCCTTAACCTCTTCCTGTCCCACCTCCCGCCCTTGGCCTATAAAAGATGTGATCATTTCCTGAATAAATGGAAGCTTGATCAGATTATTTCAACTTGCTTTCATCTCTCTTTGTCTCCCCCATGTCTTTTATTTAGTCCCTGTTCCCCCTTCAGGAATTTCCCACGGATTGATCTGCAGGCCGGATCAAGTGGCACCCAACATGGGGCTCCTGGCACAGAGGAGTTAACGAGGGAGCCGTTCGAGAGACAGCCGGCTTAAACTGAAAGTGAAAGCAAATTGAACCAAAGACCGCGGCAACGAGTGAGCAAACTGAATCAAGAATTAAAGCTTAAAGCAACAGGACATTAAATTAAGTACCGAGGCCTGCACAGACAACTACCCAACGTCCTGCCCGAGTCACGGTGAGTGAACGGCGACCCCATTTGCTTTCCCGGACATGGGTCAAGTATTGAGCGAACACGAATTGTTCATGGGAGGCCTTATAAAGGCATTAAAGACAAGAGGGGTAAGGGTTAGAACAAAAGAATTATTTTTTCAGTATTTTCAGAAAAGCAGTATTTTCAATTTATTCATAAGGTTTGCCCTTAGCTCCCCCTAGAGGGTTCTATAGATACCAAGAGGTGGAATAGAGTAAGAGATGCTTTAAAAGATTATTATAGAGTTTTCGGTCCGGAAAAGGTTCCTGTGACCACCTTTACATATTGGAATTTAATCTCTGAGCTGCTTGCCCAGCGGCATGCAGATCCTCAGGTTGAGGAGACAGTTGCACTAGGTGAGGCTGTCCTGCACAACTCCATTAATTCTACCTCAAAACCATCCTCAGAAAAATCTGAAGCCTCTGATTTCTCAGATGCAGAGGATGATGGCCTGTTAGAGGTCCTCCTACATGGTGATCTGCCACCACTTCCTCCTGTTGACATGATCAACAGGTTCCAGGATGGTGGCCCACCACTCCCTGTGCCTCCATGGCCAATTGGGAATTCATATAAGCCTTTATACCCCAGCCTTTCTGATTCTCAGGAGGTCAACTGGGAACAACCAACACAGCAAGCCTCTACATATCACCCTGACCCTGTTGCAGCACCGGTCGCTATTAGGCCATCCCCTGACTATGATGATGCACTCAGCATCTGCTCTCAACCTTCTAGCACATTAGCGGAATTAGAGCAAAGAAAAATGGATCTTTTAAAACAGATACAGCTAGAAAAAGAATGCCAAAATCTTTCAATTTGCTGGCCCTTCGAGCTACACAGTTTCATAGTGTCCCTGAGATGGAGCCTGCCTCCAACACGCCTTGTAGTGCGCTTAAAATGGTGCCTGCCTCTGGCAGCCAGCCTAAAATGGCTTTCCCAGTCACAGAGGCCTTTACTCCCCCACGGGATGTTGAAGAGGGCACTGAACCACAAGCTGTTAGGATACACACACCTCTCACCGTGGCAGCCTTAAAAGAGTTAAAGGCCACAGTCTCTCAATATGGCCCGACTGCTGCCTACACCATTGTGGTTCTAGATTCTTTGACTCAGGGTTGGATTATTCCTAATGAGTGGAAAGAATTAGCAAAAGCCACCCTCTCCGGAGGCAATTATCTATTATGGAGATCTGAATTTTTTGATCAATGCGAGGGCATAGCCAGAGATAACGCCGCATGGCCAAACCCCTGGACCCTCGCTATGCTTACAGGAACAGGAGATTTTGTCACAAAAGAGACCCAAATGCGGTTCGATTTGGGCCTCTTTGCCCAGATTATATGGCAGCCATTAGAGCATGGAAATGGCTCCCCTCAGGAGGCGAGCCTACCTTATCTCTCACCCAAATAAAACAAAAGCCTGAGGAGCCCTTTTTGGACTTTGTCGATCACCTCTTACAGGCAGCAGAGCGTCTTTTCAGCTCCACAGAAACAAACTCTGCCCTAGTTAAACAATTGGCTTATGAAAATGCAACCTCAGATTGTCAGGATGCAATTCGACCACATCACAAGAGGACCTATTGGCTTATATCTGCTTATGTACAGATATTGGGCTGGTTTATCAAGGCCTAGCCATGGCTATGACACAACAAGGTTGCATAGTTACACAACCCTTCTCTCGTTCTAAAAAAGATGCCGCTTGTTTCAAATGTGGCCAAAGTGGCCACACGGCTCATGATTGCAAAGAAAAAAATCAAAATCAGTTCTCTACAAAAAAACTAGGGCTATGTCCTAGATATAAGCGAGAAGACCACTGGGCTAATGAGTGCAGATCCAAAAGAGATGTTCACAGTAACCCTCTTCCCCCGCAGGGAAACGGGTTACGGGGCCAGCCCCAGGCCCCCAATTTCGGACAAACCCCTGGGGCTCCAAGGTTTGTCCCAGCACAAAACAATCCATTTCAGGCCTCTTCAGGGCAACCCCAGGGAGTGCAGGGTTGGACCTCTATTCCACCTCCAACACAGTATTAACCCCTGACATGGGTGTCCAGATCATGCCCTCAGGAATCTATGCCTCCCCGCCCCCTGGGACTTTTGGACTTATTATTAGACGTAGTAGCACTATGCTTAAAGGATTACAAGTTCTGTCCGGGATAGTAGATAGTGATTACACAGGAGAAACAAAAGTCATG